AAACATTTCATTTTCAATATGTCATAATTTGAGAATGTGGCCGCATTTAATAAAATATCTAGACATTTTATAAACGACGAATTTTGTAATCTGGTTACGATATATATATATATATATATATATGTATGTATGTATATATATTCTTCACCCACCCACACACACACACGCACGCACGCGCACACACACACACACGCGCGCGCGCGTAAATACGAATATATATATAATATTAATTAATTACTACTTACTCAACTTTTAATCTGCTATTTCTGCTAGCCTCGATCTTTCCTGTTTCACAGCCTCGGATAAACTGCCAAGCGGAGTGCTATACACTTTTATATAATATATATATTGGACACGAGTTTCGTTTGTTTCAGATTCTCGAGAGTTGAAGTAGGAACATACGAGTATCATATATCGTTTGTGACTTGCCGAATGAAAGCAAGACAGAGAGCGAACGAGATGATGAGCTTAATAGCTCATAATGTTATAAATAAATAAATAAAAAATTATAACCTGACCTACTAGTTATTGAATCTTTTTTTAATAAAATGTTTCATTATTATTATCATCTAAGTCTAAGTCGTTTAATTACTTTTTAGTTTTTTAATAATTAATTTAATTTATTCTAGTCATTTTTATATGAGAAAATAATATTACATATATGTTTTATAATGAATTAATATATTTCGGGAGCCGAATTATATATTCTTAATAATATAAGTGTTCAAAAATTATATTTGACTTTTAATTTTAATTTTTATTTATTAAAATTAATAATTAACATATATACTTAATTGCGAATTATATGGATGAAAAAAATCCCCATTATGTGTGTAAGAGATTTCGGAATTCTTTGCTAAAATAATTATTTATTAAAATTAATTTATTATAAAACGTATACCCATGATAGTATTTTTCTCGTACAAAAATAATTAGAGTACATTAAATTAATCATAAAAAAAATTAAAAATTAATTAAAGAATTTAAACTTATATTTATATGATAATAATAAAACATTATTAAAAAACAGATTCAATAAATATAAGTACATGTTATATATATACTTATATTTATTGAATCTGTTTTTTTTATAAAATGTTTTATTATTATCATATAAAATATAAATTATTTAATTAATTTTTTATTTTTTTATGAGTAATTTAATTTATTCTAGTTATTTTTGTACGAGAAAAATACTATCACGGGTATACGTTTTATAATGAATTAATATATTTATGTTCAAAAATTATATTTGACCTTTAATTTTAATTTTTATTTTATTAAAATTAATAATTAACATACCCACACAGAACATGACATCCAATGGATGTCCATATAGCCTCCATAGTTCCATGGAACATATATCTCCACGATGGATGCTGTATAGATTTCTAATAGATCTCCATATTATCTCCGCGATAAAATGATCGTCTGTAAATCTATCATAGATGTCTAATAGATATCTATGATAGATGATAGATGAATAAATATTAAATATATTTGTACACGTATTATTTCTTTTACATTTTTAACAAAACAACATTTAATTTTAAGTTAAATATTATTTGTAATTCTCAAATGTATTGAAAGTACACTTAAAAACATGTAATATTATATATCCTATTTTTAATTTTCTAAAATTTACAAATTTAACTTTACTAAATTCATGAATATAATATAAATATATTAAATAATAAAATAATAACACTAAAAACATTATGTTTGTAGTTTCGCATTTGCTACTTCCATTCGACATCCATTAGACATACTCATAGATGTCATATGGATGTAATACAGAGTAATTATGGATATTTCAAAAAATGATGGATGGATAATGGATATCCATTAGAGGTTACATAGATGAATAATGAACATCTACTAGAGATTATATAGATGATTTATGGATGTTTCTAAAATATTTCTAGCTTAATTATTAAAGAAGACAATTGGAAACACACAAAAATACAGAAATTGGAAAAAATTTTTTCTGTTTTTATTGTAAAATTAATAATAATCGCATATACAAATAAAAAATATACAAATCAATATAAATAAAAAATATTTTGCAATAACGCACGAATATATTAATAAAAACTTAATAAAAGAATTTTTTATTGAATTTGCAATTATATATTTAAAATAAAATACGTTGAACTCTGAAAACAATATAACTTATTATACTAATGTAAATGTATATGGATTGTCCATCTGAAACATACGTAAAATTTATTAATAATAAGGTTATTGTAAGATTTAGACAGTAAGCGCGAATTAACCAATCATAATGAGAGATAAGAAGACTCGCGAGAATTATTTCAAAAATACTATGGTTGATCAGTTTGCTTTTACTATCTAAGTCTTACAGTATTTATACTTTTCTCTATATGTAGCTTACAGTGATTTTAGTTTTTTTACTTTAAAGTTGCGTTTCGATATTTATTATACTCAGTTTTGAAAATCTATATTATTAGTACATATATATGTAACTGTATAGTATTTTCAGTAATAATGAATATTGGAGTACATTCAATATGTTTTATTGCCGCTTACGTATCTTTATGTGTGTCATTGAGGCAATGTAAAATTTTTATTTACATGCAATGGCTTTAGGGCCTGAAGGCCATTGCACTGAATAATATTTTAGCATTGAATCGATGACACACATGTTAAATTTTTATTTATTTAATTTTTTTAAGAAGTCTCAGATCTGCATATATAAGTTATTTGAAACTTGTATATTGCGTTTCATCATTGACTTCCATAAAAATAATCTGAAAATAAACTGGATGTATTATTGCACATAAATAAAAATAATAACAACAAATAAAAAATTCTGCAATATAACATAATTACACTAGTTAATTATCAAGCTATGTGTATTAAATAAAATAATTCATGTGTTTTTTACTTTTTGATATTAATGAATTTTTTAGGATATTTGCATTATTCTTTACTTTGTAGCCAGATTTTAGGATTTCTTGAATACCATCGGAGAATTTAACCAGAATGAATTCTCGATTCGACGTCTTCCTGTAAAATTAGAGCCATTCTATAATAGCTAGGTTGCAAATATCCTCGTTGTTAGTTGACAATTGTGGATTAACCAATCAGCTGACAAAGTTGCTTTGCTCTAATTAGTCAATCGACAATTGTCAACTGGCATCGAGAACATTTGCAATTTATTGTGGAATGACCTTTAAAAAAACATCTACGAGTAATCATGTTAACAAAGATATCAAATTTGTATAAATTATATATACATATATATATATATATATATATATATAGTGTGTGTTTGTGTGTGTGTAAAAAAGATTGTCTCAATTCAAAATTTTATCAGAATTTACTTTAATTTTTTATTAAACAAATAAAAACTCAAGATACAAATATTATAAATGTGCAGTACTTATAACCGGTATCACTGCGAAATATCTTTCATTTTTGTATGGCAATTTTACAAATTTGTAATTGATTTTATTCAAAGGCCACGTTTGAATGTCAGATATCTCACTTACTTTAAAAATGTTTAAATAACTAGAATTACATATATTATTATAAAGTTCTTCAACAACTTTAAATTTACGACCGACTGCAATATAATTGCCATCACTCGATGTTGCAATATTTTCCAAACAGACAATATCCTTTTCTATAAGACAACAATTGTCGGAAGATTTGATTGAAATAATAAAATGAGAAAATTCAACCTTCGAAAATTGTGGATTGAAACAACCTGATATTAACGGTCCTTTCTCATGTCGATTCTTTACACATATTTTTGAAATGTCTGCATTATTAGATTTGATTTTATGAAAACTCATTTCCGCATAGCGATTGTTAATTTGCTCTAATGGTTTCTCAGATTTTCTTAAAAGAGATTTTAATTCCTTCATAAAATTTTCAAATAGAAAAGCACTAAAAGTATCTAATGGCCCAAATTGTTTTACGTTATCAGTTATATGCAGAAGACCGTGAATATTATGGGATACAAATTCGGGCCCGTAAATTTTGATGAAACATTCAACAAAATGTTTAAATAATTTATTTGCATATTCAATATATTCGACTGTACTATTATTTTGACATAAAATGCGAGAAGCAACATGTAAAGTTAAAAAGTTTGAAAATATATCAGAATTTACTTCTTTTTGTAATACAATCGGACCGGTATATAACAAAAATTGCCTTAATTCGGTTGCTTTCCATTGTGCAAAATCTTGAATTTCTCGCGGTCTTCTTGCAAATTCTTTTGGAATAAAACGTCTCATATTGAGAAGAGATTGAGAAATACTTTTTATTCGTTGCGATGATAAACATCTAGATTTAAGAGGACCACTTATCCATAATTTTATTAATTTCTTAACAACGCCAATGCATATCAAGTGCATGTAATCTAATGGAATTTGAGATACAATGTCAAAATTTGAAATGTTTAATAAAATAGAACGACCGAGATGATATTCTTCTTGAGTTTGATTACGAAAACTCACGTCTGTTCTTTTTTGCCAATCAAAACCGGGAAAACAAATTCTGTTAGCGATAAATTCACCTTTAATTGTACATTTTGAACAGCTAAAATAACCAGTATGTCCTTTAGTAAGTATTATGAATGATTTTGCAGGAGCATCACATATTATAGAGTGTATTGTTATAGCCCGAAAGGCTATAATTACAAGTTAACGGATACAAAATCCGCGTGGAGACCGCTGATGCAGCAGCGGGCCGGAAACCGCGAAGACGCAAACTAAGAACTTCATCTTTCGAACAGCTCTTAGCTCAAAATCTAGCCGCGTATGCAAAAGCTATGCACCAATCGAGTGCCTGTCGCCAGGCACCCCTTCCAAATGAAATAACGAAAAACCGAGTTCACGTAAGAACTCGGGAGTGAACAGAGAGCGAGTTGAATTAGACCAACCTACCGAGACACATCGAGGATAACTCCCGACTCGTAATCAGACGAGTCGTTAGCTAAAGTCAGAATACATCTAGAGTCGCGTCAACGAACAAAAAAGAGAAACGAAGTTACCAGAGGTTTATAAATAACCATACGCCGAGTCTTGTTAAGATTATATACCAAAATACACATATATATATATATATATTGATTAAAGAAGTAATTCTACATTAAACAAGACTAAAATCTACGGAGAAACCCCGACGATTCAGAAGTCCACTTCCTAATCCGGCAACATCCCTTCTGTGTCTCACCCGAGGCACAACAGTATTGAAACTGGAAATGTTGTTTTATTATAAGTTACGCCTTTATCAATCAAAACATTTATATCTTTTACAAATTGTTTTAAAAATTCATTTGCATCCGCGGGCTTGGTTTTACCAAAATAGCAACCAATAAGAAATACTTTTTCATGAGACATAATTCGACCTAAAATGGGCCATAATTGATTCGAGTTAGATCGAGATATCGGCAAACCATCAATACCGATTTGAATTTTAATAGAAGATAAAACTGTACTATTATTCATACCATTACTTGCAGATAAAAATTGTAGAATACCGTATTCAATACCGATATGACAATATTGACCAGGAAACATATTAGTAATAACAGAAGATCGTGGTGTACGTAATAATGTCTTTGCACATTTTGGCAAATTAAAAAAAATTGGATGTACTTTTTTCAAACCAGACAATAAATGTGATAAAGTTACGTGAGAAATATGCGTGATAGCCCATTGTATTAAAAATGCCTCAAAATCATTGTTTTCTTTTTCTAAATTACTATTATTATCATCCTCTATTATAAAAGTTTGTACAAATGTATTGTTCAAGGAAGTATCAGATTCGAAAATGTTCGTTTCCTCGGAAAATGATAAATTTGTTGTCTCTTGTACAAATGCGGAAAGAGCGTTATTAAAATTGGCGTGTAGAATTTCATCATTGTCATTATTCAATACGGAATTATTTTCAATTACACGCGAATTGGTTCTAGGTTCTTCATTATTACATATAAGCGGAAATAATTCATCATTCTCTTCTCGAATTAATCTACGGCGATATCTCGTTGAAATACGCGACGGATATTTGCGCTTTGGCATGATTATATATATATATTGTTGTGTTTTAATATAAATGAAAATTATTTAGTAAAAAATATAGACTATGCACTTGCCTTATTTTCTGGGTAACTCCTATCCTGTCCAATATATAGTATCTTCTTTCCTGATAGCAATACGTGCGTCGGACACAATCCACCGTTTCGGAAGAGAGGATCAGGAATGCGAAGCGGAGTGCGATCAACAACGTCGTTGCAATCGTCGTTGCTAATGAACAAACATAAATTAATTTACGGCGATATTTTGTTGAAATACGCGACGGATATTTGTCAACGACTGTACAATACAAATGAAGCAATGTGAAAATACATCAGGTTCCACTATATATTTTTCGGATTCTACAAAAAAAAACACAAAGGATTATCACAAGTTTCAAACTTGAACTCCACATCATCTCAACAAGGTGAGTAAATTCATTACATATTTCCATGTAATAATATAATACAATGTAAAATTTCATATTTGTAAAAAAATATCACAGTATTTAATTATTAAAAAGAATTAATTGTTAAAAATTATGTTGAAAAATTTAAAAGAGTATTCCATAATTTTATATACACACATGAAACATTTAAAATAATACATAATAACAATATTAATAAAATATCTCAGAAATTATAATAATACCTGCTATACTTACATAAAGTGTGTTTACATTAAATGTATTTATAATATATTTTATGTACAGATGCAAATGACAACGATACTTCATACGAAATAGATGAAGAACCATGCATCGTTACAAAAGAAAAAAATCGAAACAATGTAGTACATAATCGACATGTTAATAAAATTAAGGAAGTTGATCGATCTAACATATATGCGCGAGAAAATCGATATACAAATGAGGAAAAAGAAAATAACAATTTAAAAGATCAGTCTTCACAAGCTGCAATTAGTAAGTAAATATATAATAAAGATATAATGCATAAAAATATAAGGCATATTTTAACAATAATTTTTTTAAATATTATATGATTTTATACATAATAGATTCTCGACATAACTATATATATATATATATATATATATATATGTGTGTGTGTGTGTATTGTATAGTTTTAAAGCATCTATTATATGTAATGTTTCACTACAATTAATTGTTTAAATATGCGCCTTATATTTTATATATGCATAGTTATATGTATAGAATTCATTTTTAAAATGAATTTTATATGCATTTGAAAAAGGACTCAAAATTGATGACATATAAATGAATTCTTTTCGATATCTTGTGCTATCTGGGTATTTAACTCTGTGTGTGTGTGTGTGTGTGTGTGTGTGTGTGTGGGTGTGTATTTGAAAGAAATAAAAAAAAATAATTATAATTTATACATATTTTAATACAAAACTATTGATTTAAAAAAAATTAAAACTATTAATTTCAAATAATTTCAAAAAGCAACATTTTATATATATTCTTTTTATTGTCAAAATAATTATATACATATATCAAAATAATACATCGTCTTGTCTGCTGTATTTCTTGATAAATCAACATGTGTAATGCAATTTTAATTCATGTTTTATATATATATATATATATATATATATATATATATATTACATACATTTATATGCATACAATAATACGTTACTGGTGTGTGTGTGTGTGTAGTATAAATTTCAAAAATCTACATTTTGTTCTTTTTATTAATAAAACTCTATTTACTATCTATATACCGAAATAACATATAAACTTTTATATAGTATATAAAATGATAATATAGTATACAAAACTATATATTATTTCGGTATACTAATAGAGTTTTACTAATAAACGGAAAATGTAGATTTTTGAAATTTACATGATATATATACACACACATTTATTCGTTTATTAATAATTAAAAATACTATTTACAGTGGATCATTTAAAGAGATTGACTAGAGAAATAGCAACTGTAAAATACGATATGAGACAAGCACTATCTCTATTGGATATTTTAGTGGACAAAAGCAACAGAAGCACAGAATGTGAAAATACGAGATTTTCTTACGAAGGCGCTAAAAGTCGATTTCCTTTAGAAACTAGAGCCCAATTAACGGAAATTGAGGAAATTTTAAAACTGCTAATTCCCAAGAGAACACTGAAATAGTAAGTTAGCACATATCTATATATTTTAGTAACTGAATACATAGGGTGAACCATTCATAAACGTTAACGATACTTTGTAAATTTTGTAAAATGTACGGTCTGTCCCAAAAGTTCCCGAACTTTTGGAATAGATCGTGTATGTATCCTAAAATATGCATATGAAGAAATGTCTTATATAACAATAATTAGTGTCATATGGTTTTAATACGAGGGACATATAATAGGACCATATAGTCTTTGCTTAGCCTTTTTTTTATCAAGATGTAAAGGTCACTTTCATTTTTTTAATTAAGGATACCCAACAACATTTAAAAAATCGAAAGTGACCTTTACATATATTTCGATAAAAAAGCAAGAGAGCAAAAAAATAACTGGTATGGTATCATATATGTCCCCCTTGGTACTTGCAACTTTTGTCTAAAATCTTTTTCTTAATTGTCACTTAATCACCCTATTTTCTTCACCCCGTTTTCTTAATCACCCTATATATCCTTATATTATATATAGGGGTTCACCCTATATATAATATATTTCTAATTATTATAAAATTCATAAGTTTATTGCATAATCAATTTTCAGTAAACGTTTTAATTCACAATAAAATGTATTATGGAAAATAATTGGAAATTGCTGTTAAGAAAAAGAGATCGTTATTAACTTTAATAATAATATTACTTGTATTCTTATTATAGCGCGCATATATACAAGCAATTGGTGGAACAGGCGTCGATGATGCGGTAAAGAGAACACTTTATAAAGTATTCTCAAATAAATTGGCGGAAAATTACAATTGGGAAAGCCGACGTGGAAAATATCCATTACAAAATTTAGAGTTAATGAAAGTTATTTTCAGTAAGTTTATACGTTGTTTATAAATAATTAATTTATAAACAAAAATGCCTTTGAATATATATACAGAGTGTATAAAAAGTACCGAACGGTGAAATATCTCGAAAATTAAACATTAAATATTTTCAGGATCCATACTTCACAATATCTCGGATTCTGATCGAACAAAAATACAACGAAGAGTCATGGAGTGGTTTAGGCATTCCAAGGCAAGATACAATAATGAAAAAAGCGGACCGTTAGAGACGAAAACAATGATTCACCCGATCGCGATTCATCAATGGAAAATTCAAATTATTAATTTATAAAAGATCTTAATAATCTATAATAGATAAAAATCTATAAAAGATCTATAAAATTAATACGAGGGTCACTATTTATATTTCGGGAATAGGAACAAAAACAAATAGTTAAGCTGCGAATATATTTTTATTGTTTTTCAAAGTACTCGCCACGATGATCGATACACTTTTGCATGCGCTTAAACCAATTTTCAAAGCATTTATTCCATTCCGAATAAGGTATCTCCAAAACATGATTTTTGAACGCTTCAATAGCTTCTTCGGGCGATGAAAATCGTTGACCACGCAGTTTATTCTTCACGGATGGGAACAAAAAGAAATCATTGGGTGCCAAATCAGGGCTGTACGGCGGATGACCCATCAATTCGATGTTTTGAGTGCTCAAATAGTCTCTTGTTTGAGCCGATGTGTGAGAGCTCGCATTGTCATGATGAAGAACAATCCGACGTCTCTTGTTTGTTTTCCTTATTTCACCGAAGATTTCTGGCAAACAGATGGTTGTGTACCACTCAGAATTTACTGTTCTACGATCCTCTAGAGGCACTGTTGCAATATGACCAGTTTTTCCGAAGAAACAGGCCACCATTTTCTTTGAAGTGCTTCGTGCGCGAACAACTTTTGTTGGATTTGATTCATCTTGGAACACCCATACAGTCGACTGCTGCTTACTTTCGGGCTCATACGAATATATCCATGATTCGTCACCTGTCACGATTTTATAAACGTCTTTTGAAGCACCGCGATTGTATTTCTTAAGCATTTCTTTGCATCAATCGACACGAGCCTTTTTTTGAGCGATTGTCAAATTATGTGGGATCTAACGCGAACATAACTTTCGCACAGCTAAGTGTTCATGTAAAATCGCATATATGCTGGTGGAACTAATGCTTAGAGATGCCTCAATCTCACAATAGGTTACATGACGATCTTGCTTAATCATTTCGTGCACAGCATCGATGTTTTCTGGCACTACAGTCGATTTTGGACGACCTTCACGAAACTCGTCGGACAGCGAACTACGACCACGATTGAATTCACTATACCAGCGATACACAGTGGTTTTTGATGGAGCTTCATCGCCAAAAGTCAAATTAAGTTGATTGACGCACTCTTGTTGTGATAATCCACGTCGAAAGTCGTAAAAAATCATCGCACGAAAATGTTCACGATTCAGTTCCATTTTTTGCCGAGACGAAACTTTCAACTAAATATAAAATAAACAAATAGCGTCCGTATGACAAAATGTTCTGAGTACGTATATCGTCAAAAATGTCAAACTTTACGATGGAACCGTCAGATGGACTCACATGACATCAGTGTTGCCAATTCCCGAAATATAAATAGTGACCCTACCTAATATATAAAAGAAAAAATACATTATTATAAAATAGTAAAAAATATATCAATTATTTTATTTAATACCACATAGCTTGATAATTTTAATTTGTTGTCACTATTTTTGTTTATGTGCAATAATAATACATCTAGTTTATTTTCAGGTTATTTTTATGGAAGTCAATGATGAAACGCAATATATAAGTTTCAAATAACTTATATATGCAGATCTGAGACTTCTTAAAAAAATAAAATAAATAAAAATTTAACATGTGTGTCATGAATTCAATGCTAAAATTTTGTTCACGTGTAATGGCCCTCAGGCCCTAAGGCTATTGCACATAAATAAAATTTTCACATTGCCTCGATGACACACAAAGATGTAAGCGGTAATAAAACATTAAATGCATTCCAATATTAATTATTAGTACTGAAAATATATACTATTATACAGTTACATATATATGTACAAATAATATAGATTTTCAGAAGTGAGTATAAATATCGGAACGCAACTTTAGAGTAAAAAAACTAAAAGCACTGTAAGCCACATAAAGGAAAGTATAAATATTGTAAGACTTAGATAGTAAGCGAATTGATCAATCATAGTATTTTTGCGAGTCTCTTTCTCGTCTCTCTCATTATGATTGGTTAATTCGCGCTTACTGTCTAAGTCTTACAATAATAAGCTTATTATTAATAAATTTTACGTATGTTTCAGATGGACAATCCATATACATTTACATTAATTATAATAGTATATAATAAGTTAAATAGTTTTCAGAGTTCAACGTATTTTATTTTATTAAATATTTAATTGCAAATTCAGTAAAAATTTCTTTTATTAAGTTTTTATTAATATATTCGTGCGTTATTGCAAAATATTTTTTATTTATATTAATTGTATATTTTTTATTTGTATATGTGATTATTATTAATTTTACAATAAAAACAGAAAAATTTTTTACAATTTCTGCATTTTTGTGTGTGTTTCCAATCGTCTTCTTTAATAATTAAGCTAGAAATATTTTAGAAACATCCATAAATCATCTATATCATCTCTAGTAGATGTTCATTATTCATCTATATAACCTCTAATGTATATCCATTATCCATCCATCAGTTTTTGAAATATCCATAATTACTCTGTATTACATCCATATGACATCTATGAGTATGTCTAATGGATGTCGAATGGAAATAGCAAATGCGGAACTATGGATGTCTAGTAGAAGTCCATAAGAGTTTACGTGGACGTCTAATGGAGGTTTTAAATTTCCATGATGGACGTCTACTGAACATCCATTAGAGGTTTTTGTTCCGTGCGGGTATATACTTATTAATTGCGAATTATATGGATGAACAAAATCCCTATTATGTGTGTAAGAGATTTCGGAACTCTTTGCTAAAATAATTAAAAATTAAAAGTCAAATATATATATAATTCGACTCCCGAAATATATTAATTCATTATAAAACGTATACGTAATAGTATTTTTCTCATATTAAAATGATTAGAATAAATTAAATTAATTATTAAAAAACTAAAAATTAATTAAACGACTTAGACTTAGATGATAATAATAATGAAACATTTATTAAAAAAAGATTTAATAACTATAATAGATCAGGTTAATTTTTTATTTATTTATTTATTTATAACATCATAAAATTCTGTCCTTTCCGAAATACGCGAACGCTACGAAAAGATAAAATCTCGTACATGCCGCCGGACGAGTTCATGAGCATGAGACGCTCTTATCTTGGGCACAGATTAATAGACAGATCGCCAAAGGCCTGCCTAAAGAAGAGACCGCCATCTTCGTGCGATAGACTTTGCCCCTTACCGACACACTTTGCCCCTGGTTCGAGTCCGTGCTAAATTTCGTAGACTTGAACCAAAAGACTTTGCCCCTGGTTCGAGTCCGTGCTAAATTTCGTAGACTCGACCAAAAGACTTTGCCCCTGGTGCAAGTCCAGGCTAAATTCGTTTGACATTACCAACAGACTTTGCCCCTGGTGCGAATCCAGGCTAATTGATCATGAGACCAATTTGAGAGATTTGGCCCCCGTTGTGTGTGTGTGTGTGTGTGTGTGTGTGTGTGAGAGAGAGAGAGAGAGAGAGAGAGAGAGAGATAATTTTACATATATGCATATATATATATAAAATTTATTAAATATAAAAAATATATTTTTTACACATAAAATGTTTTTTTATTGAAATAATCACAATTTTAAATGTGATATAACACAGTGTTCAAAAATTTTTTAATTAAATTTTTTAATTAAATTTTATTAAAGAAAATTACTTGAAATTTTTTACATTAAGAATTTAAAGGCTCCTTATTCTCTTGTAGAAATTTATCACTACGCCAATTAATCACTTATTTTGAGTATTTAAAATACTATAATATACAGTAATTTAAGTATTCGAAATAAAAGTGATTAATTACTCGAAATAAGTGATAAATTGGCGTTACTAGTAATAAATTTCTATAAGAGTTGAAATAAAGTATAAGAGATAAATAGGCTATATGTGAGCCGTATGCGAAATGTGAGATGTAAGACGCATATTGAAATTTAATTTTTCGATATAACTTTCAAAAATGTACACGAGGTACAAAAAATTAGCTTGGACATTTGTAAGACTTAAAATTGGGATTAATTCTCAATTCTATTAATTAAATTTCGATATAACACACCTTACATCCGCGCACGGCTCACATATAGCCCATTTATTAGTGCAATTTTTAAGTTCCTTATTTTTCAAAGTTCACCTTTTTACGTTATCAAATATTTTTGGTACGTTTTCAAGAATTTTATATTTTTACTTACCGCAGTTTCTTATCCAAATGTAAAATCTTTTATCGCAGTCTATAAAAAATTGAAACAATTTACAATTTTATGATATAATATTATTATTATTACAATTTCTATATATATGCACATCTGTCAAATATCGTGATTTATTTCACATTATTATTATCTATTTTAATAAAAAAAAAACAAAAACACTTGCAACAATCAAAAATAAACCGCCTGCCGCGAACGGAAAATGCCAAGAAAGCACGCAATTTCCGCGAATCTCGTAATTTTTTTGAAAAATCAACAATTTCAACGAAATTGTAAATTCTTCAAATCACTGCACAAGTATAATTCACAATAATAATTTGCAGTAACTACGATAAAAAATCGTATACTGAAAACCGCAAACGAAAGTGCAATGGGAGTAAGAGTAAAGTCTGTGATAAAATTAATTGGCAATAGAAAATTAATAATTTTCAAATAGAAAAATTTTGAAATTACCGAGGATTTACAAATAATAAAGTAAAAATATTAAATAATTTATGTTTTCGAATTTTGCTCGCGGAGAGGATCTTTAAAACAAGATTTTTAGAAGAGAGGACCTTTAAAATATAAACAGGCAAAAACGTTGGAAAAATTAAAGCGCGCGTTTAAACAGATAAACGCAATGAAATAAATACGCAATTGTTTTTACTTATCGCTGTAAGCTCACAAGCTTCTGACGTGCTATACACTTTTATATAATATATACAAGGTGTCCGGTAACTAACGGACCAATGATTAAGGGCGGATTCTCTGGCCAATTTGGAGACGATTTTTCCTTAGCAAAAATGTTGAGAAGTCAATAATTTTCGAGTTATAAGCGATTGAAAAA